ATCAACATCCCGAGCCAATAACACTGTGTAACCCGATTTTTGTCCTTGAGGAGCAACTATTATCTCCTATTTGCTTAGGACAATAAAGTATGAAAAATGCCTAATATTTACTTCAAACTTTGCTTTTGTGACCAAGATAAAGATTTTTATGAAATCTGTAGCAATTGCAACAAAAATACGTTATCTTAAATACTGTATATCCCTAATATTCTGTATTTTAATAACTCTTGCCAGTGATCCAGTAATGAAAACATCTATGGTACTGTGGACAGTAATACGCAATTGTTAAAACATATTTAATATGTGTTTTCAATAAGACTCATTTCAAAAAATAAAATTAACAGTATTTAAATTCAAATAAATTCTAAAACTTTTACACTAAAAAATCCCACTATCCAAACAAGCAACAATTTCCGTCTTAAACTCCCGGGGTCTTTAGAAGAGTTCGCAAATGCAGGCAGGTGCTCAGGTTTTGTTTTGATCCCGAACAGGTTTGCCGAAATATACCTTGTAGACCTCATATATTTTAGCAGATTTGTCCACAGAGTTCTTTTTCCTTCTTGCCTTGATAAAAATCCACTACAGACCAAGCAAAATGCGTCTACCGGATTCTTACAACCGCTTGATGCCATCTTTGATGAAATGCATTTTTTAACGATGACTTGTTTGCACTTGGACAGCTCGAAGTAAAGTGAAATATTGAGCTGACTTTCCATGTATTTATACTGCCGTCACTATTGCCAGGATGTTCTAAAAGTTTGAAACGTTTAGAAACCTCACGAAAGTTCTTTTAGAGAGATCTTTTAGAGAGTTCTAGAAACTTCTCATTAATTAATTCATCGATGAATCTTTGTGGGAAATAGGTTACTTTCAAAACATCAATGTCCAGGTCCAAGCAAAGCTTAAAGGGAATAATAGTCGTTTCCCTTGTTTTCTACACAGAACCAATTAAGATACAGTGTAACCCGGATATAAGAGACCCGGATATAAGAGAAACCCGGATTTAAGAGAGATTTTCTCTGGTCCCAAATTAGAGCCTGTGTTAATGTATATAAAATAGACCAAACCCGGATATAAGAGAAACCCGGATATAAGAGACTTCTTCTCCGGTCCCGACAACTCTCTTATATCCGGGTTACACTGTATAACAAGTATTAACCAAAATCAAAATGACAAAATTTTGTTACACAGTCTTATTCTTGCTTTTCGTGTTTTTTTTTTGTTTTTTTTTTTGTTAAACGTCCGCTAACATTAAATACAGTGATGTTAAAATATTTGTATGCAACTGCAATCATTTAAAATGTTTTAAACAGGAAGTTGGCAACTTTTAACGGTTGACAACCAGAACAGCCTTACTTTGCCACAACCGCACCCCGCAAAAATACATCGTTTTTCATTACAAGAGCTGCTTCAAATGAAAGGAACACTGCAAACCAGGGATTTCAGCTCATCTCAGAACCTTTGTAAATATCTTTTATGAGTCCCCTCCAAACCTCCTGTGCGAATCCCCGAATGTGCTGCAGGTATTTCAAACTATTCAAATTATAAATCCAGACTATAGAAAACTGAGTTACACTCGAATTTAGTCCTGGATATGACGATAAACTACACCCCACAGGCTTCTAATAGGAAGAACGGAGGTTTTGCGGAGCGTTGAGCCAAATCGTAATTGCTACTGTTCCCTGGTCCACCCTTGCTCGGGGTGTTAGCACCTGTTAGGGTCACAGCCACGAGAAAATAGTTAACTCTCCTCTCCATCAAAAAACATTATGAAAGTATAAAAATGTATTTTTATAGTAAAAATGCCAGCAATACATTTTATATAAAGTTACTAACAATAATTATTTATAGTAAAATTACCAACAATACATATTTAAAGCAAAATGAGCAACAATACATTTTATATGTAGTGCAAGACACACAGTTGCGTTCAAAATATTTAGATTTCGGTATTAAAGATGATATACCTCTAAACTGAATAAACCAACGGAATTCCATCTAAATAACTGCAGTCATATGTTTTTTCATCATCCGCCAGAGAGATATACCTTGCTAGACAATAAGCCTATTGGCAATAAAAATGGATTTATTAGCAAAATTCTAAACAAGGAAAATAGCGGCTAGATCATAAACTGTCTAAATGGAAATTGTATGTGAAAGTTCTTTGCATTTGGTGAGTTTTAAGTTAATATATGTAGTGAAAACTGCCGAAGATAGAATAAAGTCCAACTGCGCAACACTGCAGTGAGAAAATGGTTCATTTATATGACGAACATGTACAGATAAGACCTTTCTAAAAATCAAGTCGACCTGTGAACTGCTGCGTTTTTTTTTAAACAAAGTCATTGGAAATGATCAAGAATTAGATTTTCTTCTCCATACAGCATATTCACCAGTGAAATAATTTTCAGATAACTATTCATGCTTCTCCTCTGTATACAATAACTTATTTGTTAATCGATACCAATGATTTGAAAATATTAAATAAAATCGGAATATTTCATTTCTTCAGAAATGCAAAATTGCTTGTCTTTGAATGGTGAAACAAGATTAGAACAATGTAAATATAATTCTCTAAATAATGAATAATCATTCTATGAATTTAAATTAAGAAAATATTTTCTCCACAACGAGCATGAGAAGTTTTTCTTTTGGAAATAAAATAATACTAAACATTTTGGAATGTACTTTTTCTCATACGCTTTTACTATTAAGTTAGAAATATTAAACCTTTGAAATGAAATACATATTATTGTGTATAAACATACGAAGCGCATATTTATCTCTATGTGAGAGAGATTGTGATCATTTCTTTTCATTATCATCAATACAACGGTTAGTTGTACATATATACCGGCTGAAAAAGAGCTATGGAGATGAAATCATAAAAGACTTAGTAGTTCATCATTCATGAGCAAGGAACGACTTTTGCATCTCTAGATTTATTGGTCCTGCTCCTTCCTAAGTAGCAACACCTGATCATAATAAGGAGTTCACGTGCCTTATCTATATGGCGTATTCGACGTGTCAAAGTAGCTAGGAACAGCTAGAGTTGACATCTTTGTATGATTTTCAAAAGTAAGAAATTACCTAGATCATACACAATCTAATGTGTGTAGGTAAATATATACCGTGTGATCATCTGGAATCTGAAATCAGTTGTAAGTCTTAGCAGAGATCTGTTCTGAAGTCAAAGAGAGGCAATTAAATTATTAGAATGTTTCGTTCAGGGGTTTGTTTTTTGTATTTGCAATAATACTGTAGTGAATTATTGTTAGAGTCTACACTGGGTATGAACGATCACGGCATAATCAAAAATGACAAAAAAAAAGCAGTCAATATGCAATAAGCTCTCCGCATCATTTCTTTTTGAAGTGAATATATATATTCATATTTTAGTAGTGAATATTTTTCAATATTAATAAGCAGGAAAATTTCGTTAGAAACAAATGAGTACTGAACAGTTACGTAATATGTCAGTGAATACGAGACAATTTCATCACATATGAAGTACAAACTTGCGATAACGGATAAGTGGTTCTACAGAAGGATACTGAGAATACAATGGACTGAACCTGTTGTAGAGAAAATCTAAAAAAAAAACATTACGCTTATACATAGAATCAAAAAGGAACAATTGTAATTTCAAGAGTATATCGATTATGGTAACTTACAGGGTTAACCAGACGGTGCGCTTTATTTAATATAAGTGTGTAGACTGTACACTGGCCATGTCGAGGGATACCTTGTCTAGTTCTTATTGTTAGTATTGTTCTATTATTCGTTACCCTGTTTCCGCTGAATTCACGTATTAATTACCCGGGTCAACAACCGAAATGATGTGATAATAATAAAAAAGATGAAGACACTATTTTGAATAGAAAGTGTAAATAACATATATTCTATTTTAGCATGGTGCAGATAAGAGCTGAGTTAAAAGAAAAAAACGATTATGATATGAAACTGCGTATGAAGCAAAGATATGGCATTAACGCATCATTACAGAACAAAATGCACCCATTGTGCACCATTGAGGCATACTGAATACGGAAACCAAATACTTGATGTGAGTACAGTTAGTCGGTGAAGAATGCGTCGTAACAGCGTTCTGCTCGAGTTTTCACAGCTGACAATTCACGAAATATCCTTCGTTAGTGAAAATACATAGCCAGTGGTGGTGATTGCGTAAAATATACAAGGAACTTCAGAGTCAATTTTTTTCTCCGTTGTCCATGAGAACATATACTTACTCACCGCACTTCTCCTCTAGTCAGAATATATTTGATTTCTGCGAAGCAACGTAATTATTAAATATATTTATGTAGCATCTATGAGAGAAAACAAGTTTGAAGCATGTGGTAGAATCTACAACAAAATAAAAATAGGACCTGTTTATTATTAATGCGTGTGTGAAAACAAGATTTTTAAACATATCAATAAGTAATATTTTATTTAATGTAAAAGTTGCCATTTATTAGTTTTTTGAATATTTTTTCGGCAGTATACGTGTAGGAAATATTTTTCTCTCTTTATTTATTCACTTTTTTATCATAAAATAAATTAGTAAGACACGAGATGTTTATAGTACAGATGAATAATTTACACGGACATAAAATTTATCAACTGATTAAATATATGTTTTGACATAATCTTTTTCACAAATGCCATTTAAAATTATCTGACGCCAGCTTCTGAAAGTAAAATCTATTGACCTTGAAATAATATTGATAGAGGGGTTCGATTTTTATAGCTTATCTACCAGTTGCAGGTTATTTAAAGTTGGATTATATTTTTGGAATGTAAGTTTTTTCAAGAGATAATGATTTAGTCAAAAAAGGGTTACTAATTAATCCATAGCTGTGTAGAGAAGAAGTGGCCTCATTACTTTTCTAAGGCCATCTACGCAGATATGAATATAGCGAGCACGAAAGGAATTGGAACTCGGCTCTTTGATAAACAATTCCGAGCCAATATCCGTGGCACGACCTGCTCATCTAAGTTTACAACAGCAGGTATTACCAAACGGTCACTCATCTAGGTACTGACCAGATTCGACGTTGCTTAACTTCGGTAATCGTACGGAAACCGGTGTTTCAAACTGATATGACCGTAAGTAAGCATAGTTCAACAAATCTTGTCACAAATATAAGCAAGTTCTATCAGTGTTCAAGCGTTGTTCTCTGTTGATTGATGTAGAATTCTATGTCGTTTCAGGATGTAGGCAATCACGGCTGTCCGGTAATGTTATTTTGGTGAAATTAGTGAAGCGTTTTACCGTTCCTTTCATCACGTATTTGAAAATCAGCGTTTTCATTCTCTTAAATAATTTGCCACCCGTGGTTAGATTGCCCAGTCTACCCTGCTATTTATCACATAGCTGGTGGAAGGCGACCAAAGTCGAAACAGGTTCATGCATTTCCAAAAATATAATGTGAAAATAAACGAAACAGACTAACCGAGATTTGAACACTGTTCGATTTCACTTTACGTGTCGTTAAACATTACACTACATATAGATCCGCTTTTTTTTTTAAAACTTTTCACCCCGAGCAAGGTAGGGTGCCACTAGCACGCAAGGGGTTACGGAAAGTGGGAGCAAGAGTAAAGAGGCATGAGAGAATAAAGGATGAAAAGAAGGACCGGAAATAGATCAAGCCGTCTGGAGATGTCGATTGACATTGCATTTGAATAGTTGGAGATTGTAGCTATCAGGGAAGCAAGTAAGAGGAAGGGAGTTGCAAGGACGGGAAGTGCAAGACATGAAACTTATAGCAGTAGTGATTGGGATATATGTTTTTATAATTCTAACTTTCAGTGGTTTCATTTTATTTGCTATCGCTTGAAGACAATATAACATAATTTATAATTTTAATTTGCCAGCCAGGCAAATGTACAGTGTTATTCAATGATTCATTACCGACCTCGACTGATAAAACAAAGCGTAAAAGTCATAAACTTCATTTTTATTAGTTTATCACGCTTGTGAATATAGCTTTTACAATATGTGGCCTCATATTCCAAACGTCGAGGTGTTTAACTATGAGACGAGGTAGTGGAATGAATAATCTCTCGATGGCGTCTAAAAAAGAAATAAGTAGTAAATAAAGTCGGTTGATTCGTGGTAAGAATAATAAATCTGTTATATAGATCAATAAGTGGTTTATGTGACATAAAAATGCGATTAAAATCAGAACGTCAAATTTTAATATAAACATACATTTAAATACGCACACACAAATATATATATATATATATATATATATATATATATATATTTGTGTGTGTCTCTGTGTGTGCATGTGCGCGAACGCGCGTATATGCTATTAAATCCCATATGAACTACAAGAAAATAAAGGAATTTCGCCATATATTTATCAATAACTGAAAAATATCATACAGGAAGTACTATGAAAATTGAATACAAATACTCGTCTTGATCCTTTCTCCTCAAGCAAGGCGATAATGTTAATTAGACTCAAGGGGTTACTGAGAATGGAAGAAGATGAGAAAACTTTGGCGAGAAGAAAGACAATAAAAAAAAGAAGATACAAGAACATAGACCATGGCCTGTGATGTTGCATTTCAACTTTGGAAGATTTTAGATTCCGACTTGCCGGAAAGGATTTCCACGAGCGAGAAGTACGAGAAAAGAAATTATTAGAATAGAATTTACGGTTACATCAAGTTGCCAGTCTAATACTCCGTCTAAAATCATAGAGTTTAGTCCGGCGTCTTAGTTCCCGACTGATAACATTACAGAGTCTTTTTTTGGATTTTATCAACTATCTCGATATATTTTCTTAAAATCATTTCAGACCTAGCAAGGCGATAGTGCTACTAAGATGCAGCGGCCTACTGGGAGTGAAAGAAAATAAACAAAAATTACAAGGAACTGGAAACCCAATCATAACCAAAGAACATGAACAATACTAACAATAAAAACATAAACTTTTACTTATGGGAGGAGTGTGAACCGGACGATAGACGAACTTATCTATACCTATAGAGCGAAAAGTCAAAATGAATAAATGGTAAATATAATTTAAGTTTTTAGGCAGGCACGTTAAGACATGGAGAAGCTTTTTTAACAGTAATTTTTAGTAGGAAATATCTCTGCTACTTTGAATACAGTAGACTGTATGCGTAAGAATACACCTTTGAAATGGGGTAAAAATTGATTTATTTTTCTGTAATTAAAAAACTGAAAATATCATCAGTGATGACAGTATAATTAACACGTGTCGCTACATGGGATGTCTTTCTAATTTATTCGTTTGAAAATAAAAAAATACATTTCTTTAGAGAAAAACTATTATAATTCAAAAGTAAAGAAATTTTGCAAGTAAGATCTTCCATAGTGATAATTGTTAGTAGGTCAATAGATTATTTTACGAAACACTAATTTCCTTATAAAATTATGCTGGCCATTCAGAAAGACGAAGTAGAATGCATACGGAACGTAGACCGCTGTTTACCAATGACTGCGTCAGAAATATAAAGTTGAAGTAGACTTTAGAAGAAACCGGAAATTCAATCCTAACAGGAAGCAACCTCTACTCTTTTTCAGAAAACCGAGGAGGGGTGTGAACTCCATAGAACTTATTCTCGATGAGCTGGTAATCCAGCGAATCTTTAGTCGCGCACCAAAACGTAGGTACACGAATATGTACTAATTAATATATGTCTTTGTTCTGTATAACCACATCCAGCACTATTATGATTACACCTCATGTATGAATTTGACGAATTTCTATTTGCTTGCCCGGGTGTGCACACCAGCACACGCGTATCTATTTGCTTATATCTAGCCGTTTGATTTATTAATATTATATATATATATATATATATATATATATATGTGTGTGTGTGTGTGTGTGTGTGTGTGTGTGTGTGTGTGTGTGGGACAAGTAATCGATCCGTTGGTATATAATCCTGGTGGATCCTAATAATATTAATTATCAAAATTGATCCACAGAGAGCTCGATGTATTTATTATAATAGAGCAAATGTATTCTTTTACAGCAAAAAAAAAAAAAAAAAACTCAACTTAGAGTATAGCCTACTTCAAGACGTTCTGTACGCGGCTATCATCAGCCCCTAAGTGTCTGTCTTCGGAACATTGTTTTAAATGTATTTTCATTTTTAATGTCACTCCTCCTCTGGTAGACGCCTTGTTAATAAGAATGGGTTTGTGTTTTCGATTGATGGGACGTAAGGTATCTTATCCGGGAGAGTATCAGTCTAGGCTTGGTGCCTACTCATAGCCAGGACATTTCGTTGTTTGTAATTTAATATCAGTTCTTCCTATGCAGCGTTTCTTTTACGAGCCTCAAGTGTGCGTGTGTTTTTTCTGGGATTCGCAGTAAATAGTTTTTGTACTATTAGTGTCCAATATTATTAATAAGCGATGGGAGATTTAAACTTAAACTCGTTAAGATTAATATTAAATTATTTGAATTATAGATTTATAGATTGTAGTTGATACCAGAGCAACGAATGGAATAAATTCATGCTGTCCAACGCAATTATATGCGTACTTAACTTCATAGATACATATATGTATATTTACATGTCCATACATATATGCCACTATACGCACACATACACCCCCCATATATATGCACATCTATTCTTATGTAATTTGGAATATATTTCTGTGCTTACATTTGGTGATTAGATCTCTCTACTGATTTAATAGTTTGCATTGATCTTTATATTTTATTATCCTGATTTTTTTCTTCTAAACATAGTTTGCAGCTATCACTAAAACTATAGGGGGTGTTCGCGAAACCTAGAATTTTGCAATTTATTTAAGGATTCAGACCCTTTTCTTCAATTCCCAAAATTTCTTCGAAAGGGCTGTTTGGTGTTTTAATTTTGGATTTGTTGAATGAGTATCTATGTGTGTTGATTCTCTTCCTAAATTTAATTAATAAATACGCCAACAAAAAAAATCCTCTGAATAAGATATTCAACAGGAAATCAATCAACAGTAGCTACTCCTGCATTGATAATATGTACCAAATTATTAATTCCCACAACAGTTACGATTCATTTTATTACATTTTCAAAATACAGCATAAAAACCCGATTTTAATTAAAAAGTTTATACTTGTTTATGCAAAATTCTTTCACTTATTGAAATGTATTTCATTCTGTCTTTAAATATTATTTCCGTTTCATTCATACAATTTTGCGGGATTTATTGCAAATTTTATATTATAATAATTACATTTTAAACAAATTCTATTAAAAAAAAATAAATAAAAATAAATCTAACATGGAAACCCCCTGAAATTGTAGAAGTAAGGAAAACTGCCCAGTAGAGGGCAAGTGCAGATGCACTAGGGTAGTAAACCAGGCAACCATTACCCCTAAAGAAAATACGACAAACCATAATATTTACATCGGCATTTCTGCAGGAGAATTAAAAAAAATATCCATCACAATAATAATAATAATAATAATAATAATGATAAAGCAAAATCATATAATTAATGAAATTTAACGTATTTTTGCCAATAGACATTCTAACAAAAATTGCTCAATATGAAACTAAAATTATAATAATCTATAAAGCAATAAAAGTGAATTTGACTTGCCGTATAGTCTCGTGTATAAGTCGATTCATCTATAGTGCGACCCCTGAATTATTTTGCAGGAATTTTAACCCTTCGAGAAAAATACGTGTGCATAGTATAAACGACAACCGAAAATGCATGATTTTTAAACACTTCAAGAAAATACTTGTGTATTTCCCCTTATCATAAAAAAATCTCGCACTATACCCGCATACATAAGGTAACTTAATTTTTAATACTTTAATTTTAATAAAGTAAATTGAAATTCAATTGATATATTTCTATCTACAGACAAATATATATATATATATATATATATATATATATATATATATATATATATATATATATATATATATATATATATATATGTATAAAAAGAGCGAGAGAGAGAGAAAGAGGAGAGAAAGAAAGAGAGAAATAAACGTTATATTTTACGGATTGGGTTCATCCAAGAATATTTCTGCAGTACATCATATATACACATTTGCATTTATTGTTTGAATATATATAGGTTTATATAAGTACGCAA